AAATATTTTGGATATATTGCAAGACTTATGACAACCCTATAAGCTCCACAAAATTTCTAAATCATACTTATATTTTGTCGTGACACTAATGTTGAATAAGTACACGTTTACAACATGAAGTTTGGGGTGGATATGCAAGCTACACACTATTTTTTTTACTACGAAAAGCAACATACCCTAAGGTATGGATGTAGACGAAGGTGTTAAGCTTAATATGATGTACAACATACATTTGAGAGATGTCGGATAACAACCCGACGCCTCTACGCGTGTCAAAATCCTCTCCGAACTCTTACATAAGAGTCAACTAATGGAAATCGCCTAATTTCCATAGCCTTTGCGAAGTGGACAGCCAACATAAAGGTTTTGGGAGAGCGAAAATTGAAGTTTCTAAGGTCCTAAGTTTCGGGGGCGTCAACCACACAACAATTGGCCTTGGGGGACCCTAGGTTTCACTAAGTTTAGGTGGTATACCTCTCACGGTTTGTCCTAGCACTCCAAATTTCCGTCCAAGCTGCTGTCCAAGGTCCACTCCAAGCTCCAAAGTCGCTCCAAGCTCCAATTCAAGCTCCAAAGTCACTGCCCAAGCCGCTCCGGAACTCGCCGCTGCTGTCCAAAGCGATTTGAAGGCTCCAAACTTCTGTTTGGAGGGTTTTGAAAGCTCTCTTTTGCTGTTTGGAGGCTTCAAACAGCTCCCAACTTGTCTCGAAGTCGTCGGAGTTGAAGGAGGAGGGAAGAAAAAGCCATTAACTTTGTTGATCTTTGAGAAAGGAAGTGAATGGCTGTCTTAACCTTCTTTGGAATGAGAAAATATCTCAAAACCCTAAGCTTCTCTTCTCCCTTCCACTAGGAAAGCCACAAGCAAGGGTTCTGGCTCGCTGGAAAAAGGGCGGCGGGACACGGTGGAGTCGCACGCGGGAGTCCTCGGTTTCGCCGGATTGAGTCGCGCACGGGGAGGGGTTTTCCGCCTCTCCTCACTCGCTCTCTCTGTGTCTCGGGACGGAAACGAAAAGGGGAGAGTAATGCCGCTCCCCACTCTCTCATTTGTTCTCTTAGGGATGCCTGCAAGGAGCCGCCCAAATGTCGCTTCTCCTCGCCTCGTTTCGTGTAACAAGGGAAAAAAAATCTACTTGAGTAGATTTTGGCTGCCCACTTGAAGTGAAATTGAGTGGGATTTGAGAAGAGATCTCAACCCTAGATTTCATATTTTGATTTGAAAATCAGATTCAGCCCAAATTAATAAATTACGGCTGAAATTGAGTTCGAATCAAACCCGACTTGGATCGATTTGGGTCGATTTGGGTCCGATCGAGTTAATTTAATGAAATTGAACTCGAATCGGCGCCGAAATGTGTTGAATTGCGTCGAATTGGGCTCGACAACGCTCGACGATGTTCGATTTAATGTGATTTGATTTCAAATTAATTAAATTTGATTTAATTTGACTAAAACAAATTTAATTAAATCAAATCGGGGTCTAATTTGAGTCGATTTTACCTCGACAACGGTCAATTGGGTCGATCGAGGTCGGATCGACACGAAAATAAACGTCAACAATCCTCTTAAGGGATTATAGGTTTTTATGTTTGTCAAGCGGTTAAAAGCTTTTTTAATACTGGATCCCTCCCTAACTCTCTGAAATCCATGCTCTTGCATTAATTCCAAAGCATCCACATGCCTCTGATATTGCTGATTACCGGCCAATCTCCCTATGTAATACTTTTTACAAAATTATAGCCAAAATTCTTGCTAATCGGATGAAAAGTATTATGCCCCTTATTATCCATAATAGCTAGGATGGGTTCATCCAAAAAAGGCTTTCTACGAACAACATTGTGTTAGCTTCTGAAATCCTTAGGGATTTCAAAGGGATTTCCAATAAAGAATTTTTCTGAACTGAACATTAAGAAGGCTTTTGACTCTGTTTCGATGGATTTTCTTCTTTCTAGAATGATTGAAAAAAGCTTTCCGTCGAAATTTGTGTCTTGGATCAAAGGTTGTATCTATAAAGTTCATTTCTCCATTTGTATAAATGGGGTTCTTTAAGGTTATTTCAATTCTTCCTCGGGGCTGCGGCAGGGTTGCCCTCTATCTCCTTTTCTTTTCGCAATTATAATGGATGCTTTCTCTTGTTATTTGGATGCCGGTAGATTCAGTGGTTTCCCTTATGATCAAACCCGGTATAGCCATTTGTTGTATGCTGGCGACATTTTGGTTTTTGGCCCATCTACTATTTCTAATGCTCAAGCTCTTAATGAGACTTTGGGTGGTTTTGGTCATATCTCTGGTCTATACATTAATAGAGATAAAAGTTCTATTCTTTTCTCTCGGAATTCTCAAATGGCCACTGATATCAAGAACTTCCTTGGTTTCTCTCTCGCTGAGCACTCTCTTAAATACCTTGTAGTTCCTATCTCTTACAAAAAACTCTCTATTTCTCACTTCCAACCACTCCTAAGTAAAATTTTTACTCTACTTGCTGGTTGGAAAGTTAAGTTTTTGTCTTTTGCAGGTAAGATTCAATACTTGAAATTCACTATAGCCAATACTATTGCATATTGGATCCGCGAAGAGATAATACCTAAGGATTGCTGTAAGATATTTAACAGACTGTGTGCTAGGTTCCTTTACCATGGCTCTACCTATGTTAGGAAATTACATCTCATTGCCTGGAACAACACTTCTCTGCCTTACTGCTATGGGGGTCTCGGTATTCCTGACATCAACTCCATGTATTTTGGCCATGCCTGCTCCTTATGGAGATTTTACACTTTGGATTCACCTATCAACTCTTGGTTTAGAAGTAATTTTGAATCTCCATTCAAACCTGTTAACACTAAAGCTTCAAAATTCTGGAAACTGATTAGTGACACTGCCATCCGTGTTAAACACTTACTGAAATTTCATGTGACACATTCGAATTGTAAACTTTCTATGTCTTGGAACCCTTGGGTTAATGGCTTATCATTAGCTAACATTTCCTCTTCTCTACCCCCGAGTAATACTATGGCTAGAGAGTATATTTTTAACTGTTGCTGGGTTTTAAAGAATGACTTTCCTCGTCAGCTAATCCAGCTGATCTCCTCTACTCCTATTGTGGACTGTGACATTTGTGCTTCTTGGACTGGAAAAGGGACTCCAAATTATAAAAACTTCAGAAAAGTGTTCTTTGCTGATCTCATTAAAGTCCCTTGGTATAAGTTTATTTGGCATAAACGAATTGCGCTTAGATATTCCTCTTACACCGGATTAGCTGTTTGCAATGGGCTTAAAACTGCGGATGTGTTGGCTAAAAGGAATATTATCATACATTCTATTTTCCCCCTTTGTGATAAGAAGGATGAATCTATCTCTCATTTGTTCTTCCAATGCCAATACTCATTTCAAATTCTGGAAACGCTTTTGCCGGATGTCAGGGGATTGTTATTGAGACCTAAGATGCTGCAGCTATTTGAATTTTTTTGATGATATTCACGGTTACAATTACCTATTTAAGAACTTTTGTTTCTTTGTCACTTGCTGCCTAATTTATTATGTATGGCGTGAAAGGAATGATAGAAGGTATGGTGGGATTCATTGTACCAGTGCTGCCTTCTTCCATAAGATCTCAATGGCTATTTCTGCTAAGGTTTCTCAGTGGAAAAATTGTGACAAAATTCAGGTCGTTTTCCCGGTTTGTTTTTCTCGGCAATATGCTTTTCGATTGGGGAATTTTGATGTCTCAGGGAAATGATGAGTCCAGCTGGTTTCTTTTATTCTCCCCTAGATGGTCTAGTTTCTCTGCCGGGTTTGTCCCAGCTTTTGGCCTGGCAGTTTTGCACCCAGCTAGAACGTCCGAGTGGTCTTTCGATTGGCAACCGGGATCTCTCATGTTGGTGATGGCACATAACTGATAATGATTTTGTTGGTGCCTGTTTCCAGTTGGATTTTCCTGAGCCCTGCTTGAGACAAATTTGGATTTTTTGTCCTCATCTATTTATTGATCCCAGCTCTCTTACTCTATTGTAATTTTTTGGTTTTTTTTTTTTAGTTGAGTTAGTTTTCTTGTAAATCATTTTGATTAATATACGGGCTCTGCCCAAAAATTTCCCAAAAAAAAAAACTTTAAATTTCAGCAGCCTCCCGACGTCTCTCCCATTTAAGAGAAATTTCAAGAGTCTGGGCCTCCCACCACTCTAGAGAAAAGAGTGTACGGTAAGTGTCGGTCTGTCAGATGACACCCTGGCCATAAATCTTCAATCCCACCCAAGATTTAAAATTGCACAATTGGGTAGAGGCTTTTTTCAAGAGGAGACTCAAGGCGGTAAGCCTCAAAATCAAAAAATTGCGTAAAGTCAAAAATGATAAATGTTTTATATACTAATGACTAATCTAATATTATAAAACATAAAAAAGCACAAGATATGAAGTGTCAAGTAATAAATTGTTTGAAATTAAAGTGAAATCCAAACATCACAATAATAAGACTACATAAAATATAGTTTAAATATAGTTTAGCTCAAAATTCTATCTTGTGCAAATCACAATATCGTGTTCATTAACATGTAATTCAAAAAATAAATAGCAATAACATAACAAATCAGAAGTTATCAACATTGTCATCACTAAGGGGGTCTTCATTTGAATTAACGTTACGATGAACTGTTGTCTCCCCTTCCTCATCTCCTATGAAGTCCAATGTCTCGTAATCAGCTCCTTCCTCACTATCAATTATCTTCCCTACATGTTTCCATGTTGGATCCTTCCTATGATCTGATGCAGCTTTATCTTTACTTCTGACCATCCTTTACGAGATGAATATATTAAGTGAATAAGAATTAGTGTAATTGAAAAATATCCTTAAAGTGGGAAGACCTTATGGACCTCTATTGTGATAATAATCAAGCAATAAATAGTGCACATAATCTACAAAGTGAATTATGCCAAATAAAAATAAATTATGTCAATGAAAAAAAATCATTCTAATCTACAAAGTAAATTATGCCAAAAAACACCCTATATGACTTGGCTAATAAATTATGTGCAACACTTGAAGATCACTTGATAATCACTTGAATTTTATGATGTTGAAACAAAGTTATATCAAGCAAGTTTACTTGGGAAAAGGATTACAATTTCCCTTGTAAGTGATCTGCTAAGTCTCAATACATGATCAAAGATCACTTAATTTGTTTATGTCGAACTCCAGCCAAAAGTCGAGGCCGAAGGCACGTGAAGAAAAAGAGGAATGCAGAGCTGAAGAGTTCAGGAGCACGCACAGAAGAAGAAAACGAGTCGCAAGCGAAGAAGAAGACAGCGAGGTCGAAGACAAGTCTCAGTCGAAGTCGAGGTCGAAGGAACACGAAGAAGAAGAAGACGAGTCGCAGGCGTAGAGGCGAGACTTAGAAATACTTTAGGTTTAGATATGACGGGCAAAGTTGAAGCAGAGAAATAAATATTAGGTTTAGGTTTTTTGTACTTTTACATGGTGAAAACCTCGTCGAAATGAGACGAGCATGCCTCAGTTTAATTGAGGCGTATGCCACAATTTTCAAGCACAATGAATATGCTTTGATGAATGAACAGGTCGAATTACATTGAGATGCACCTCCTATTGCATAATTTTAAACCATGATCACACCACGCCAGAGAAAGGTGTGTATGAGTGGATGCAGACAACTAGATAGAAAAACCAAAAGGGAGAACACAAGGGCTATTAGAACTTTTCTCGATTCAAAATTTAGAACGCAAACATCAAACAAACCTCCAAACAAATGAAAGTTAAACAAAATGAAAATTAAATTAAAAAAAAACAAGCTACCCTCAGAACAACCGACTAGCGGTCACCTCACATGCAACGAAATAGTATGTAAAAATAAAAGAAGTGCTGCAAACCAAGGGTCCACCACAGCTACTTGGGCCAACGTCCACCACCAAACTTCGGCAAATACTACCAAACAGGCCAATCAACACCTCCAATAACTTGAGAAGAAAGATACAAGTGGAGTGGAAACCTGTGGAAAGAAGAAGTAGGTAAGAAGCCCAAGATGAAATTGAAGAGAGAAGAAGAGAAATAGAACAAGATCGCAAGCTTTCCCAAGAAGAAACCCTCAGGTTTTTAGAGAACTTTCCTCAGCAAACAACAACCTTTAAATGCCTCAAAACATCACATATTTATAGATGAAAAGAGGTAGCCAAACAACCCCAATTACCTCCAGCCAAACCAATAAAAAAAGGGGAGCCAAGAAGACCAACAGGCAACGCCTGGAATAGCAGCCGAAGGGACCATACCGGGGACAGGAACAGGCAACCACGGGGAACAGCAATAGCCAGCCACGGGACAGGAGCCAGGCGAAGAAACCGAAAGGCCAGCAAAGAGGGGGGGAGAACCAAGACACCCATTTATGAGCTGAAAAGGTAACTGAACTACATATTAATGAGCTGATTTTTAGAAGAGGAACACATCAGCTCACCAAAAAGGGGAAGCTAACCCGAGACAGCCAAGCCCAAACTGAGAAGCCCAAATCAGCCCAAGAGCCAAGGCACCAAAGTATTTAGCACACCCAAAGAAATACATGTCCAAAGCACTACCTACTCATTGATCATTGGTTGCCTTCCATCATAGTGTAGCATAATAAAAACAAAAAATAAATATAGCATTCATATTACAATAATACTAAAAAAACTGAAATTTGCATGCATCAATGAGTCTTTGGGATACAAATTTGAAATGGGTAATTATTTTCCCGTAGACACTGAGGCGTCTACGAGTACTTATATTTGTCCTCGGTGCACTAGAGAAAAGCACCTATATGGCCTACCCGCCTCATCATGGGAGTCGCACCGGGTTCCCTTCCCACCATACTAAAAAAAAAGCGTATATAGGCGATTTTCTAGTGCGTCGAAAACGCCGAATGCGAGGTTTTGAGTTAAGAATGTTATACCTACATGATGAGGGATGCGATGAGGGATGCGACGGCGATGATGTAAATGTACATGACAAATGCACAAAATCACTCTCTTTTTTTTCATTTTCAATCTTTCTTCTTTTATTTTCCATTTTTTTATTTTGGCCTGGAGCGAGCGATTGGAGGTTGGAAGTTGGACTGCAAAGACGTGAGCGTGAGGTCGGGTCTTGAGTTCGACGGAGGAGGAAAGGCTTGGAAGTCTTGTGAAGTTGAGGTCGACGGGCTGTGGATTAGAGAGGAAGAGGAAAGGAGGAAGATTGAGTTTGTTTGAGTGGAGGCTTCGGCAGTGGCTGTTGTGGGTTCGGGTAAGGTTCAACTGCAGCAAAAAAGAGCTATTGTGGAGGTCGGCTGCTAGTCGGAGGCAAAAGGGGCTCGACAGTTGAGGTAAGTGGCGGCTCACAGACAGAGCAAGGGATCAACAGGTAGAGCTATGGGAGGATTGAGAGAGGAAGGTCGGATGGAAGTAGAACATCGGCTGCTAGGGTTTTCACTTGAGGCACTTGTTTGCGTACAGGAAGGAGAAGAAGCGGGAGGAGCTATAGGTTTAGTGTGCGGGAAATCGAAGAAGCGAAGGCTTCATTCCATCGGCATTTTAACGAGGAGTGCAGACACTTGATCGAGGCGAGCTACGCATGTGGGAGACGGGACACAAATTCGACGTTGTTTTGCAGAGGGATGGCACTGTAGATGCGGCGTATTCGGTAGAACTTCAGCAGGTAATGATTCGAGCTTTATCTTTTTTTTTTTTTGGGAGGGGGTTTGTGTTACAGAGGTCAACACAGGTTAATTAAAAAAAGATGAAATTAAAGAAAGCAAGATGAGGTATTGCAATTTCCACTTAATCAATCACAACAAGGGGAATTTTTTCCTGAAACTTGATCTAGCATGGCATCAGACGGATTAATGACAAGCAATCATAAGACCACAAGCCATATGGAGCAATGTAGGTGAAACTCAATCCTTGGTAAGATGGGACTTTCAGCAGGCCATACCTTCAAAAACTTATAAGGCCCTACCTACACAAAAATTTCACAGTAGCAGATGGAGAGCATTCACGGTAAAAGTTCTAGTTGTGCAAATTTCTGCAAACTTTTTGTATGCATACACTTTTGCCAGCCCAAAAAAATGCTTTAGATTTTAGATAAGTTGCAAAGATGCAAGGCTGAAGAACAGTGCTCAAAACTTTTGTGTAAATCAAGAATAATTTTCAGTCCTTGGAAAAATGTTTAGGTCAATAGCCATAACACTATGTCGATAGCAATGCGACTGTTGGCGTAGTGAGAGAAGGTGAAAAGATGTACCCAAAATTTAAGCAACAAATCTTTTACAATACACATAATTGTTAGATAGTTCAAGTATAAAATGTCTATATTATACATAACCGTATTAAACTTTCTCAAATATAGGGGGGCAAAAGCAACTTCTTATCCTTCCTTGATTCCACCCAAAACGTTATATCAGTCATCATAAACAGCATAAAAAATTCAATAGGAAATCATAATCAGAATGAAGTCACCGCAGATTATAATAAAAGAAAACTACATCAAAACAATGCACATAAAAAGAAAAGTCTTCTCACCTCGGATGAAGACATCAAAAGAGTTACTATATAATGGGTTGTCAGGACATGGCATGGTATAGAATGGCCGTACTGCCAAAGGATATCGATGAAGTACATAAAACTCAGTCTCATACCTGTTTTAAGTATCATGTTACATATGAAAACCAGGTCATTCACGGGAAATGCGTGACTAGGCTAGAAGAAATATTTCTAGCAAATAGAATAATTTACTTCTCAAGAACTAGTCGACCCAATGTCCTTTCTGCCTCGGTATTAAGGTCCCCAAATGGGTCAACTTCTACACCAGCCTCCTGCAAATGGCAAACATATAAAAGAATACGTGAAGGATACTTTGATTAGAGAAATATATAGTTCATTTTTTTAGAAAATGTCCAGAAAAAAAAAACTGTTGTTTTAGTATCCAAGAAATCATGCTTTGGGGCCTATTTTGTTGCCGATAAATGAGAGGATGTGGCACTTTCAACAACTGGAAGTGGAAATGGAGACTTTTGCGAGGAATAATATAAATCAATTCTATTTTGCATCATAGGTCAGATTAAACTTTTTTCCCATCATAGATAAGGTGTCAAGCAAAAAGCATTTCAAGATCTTATCAATCCAATTATGGAATGTGTTAAACAAAAAATTCTGGTGATTAGAATCGGAAGACAAGTGATTGAAGGCAAACTTTTGATGCTAAAACCTGCTCTTCTATAATATTTCCTATCTACTTTAACAAAATTCTCCATAGACGATAGACTGCTCCACATGCATGCCGAAAATCTCCTGCTCACATATCAATTGTACTTAACGCCTGGTTTCAACCTGTTTATTCACAGCATCAACAACAACAACAACATCAAGCCTTTGTCCCACTACGTGGGGTCGGCTACATGAATCCTTTTTTTTTTCATTGTGTCATGTTAAAAGTCAAATTCTCATTTAAATCTAATAAAGAAAGTTTGTTTCTAATATTTTCTAACCAAGCCTTTTTAGATCTACCTCTACCTTTCTTAACATAAGTCAAATCTAATACCTCAACTTTCCTAAACGGGTCATCGGAAGGCCTCCATTTAATGTGACCAAACCACCTAAGGCGACTCTCTCTAATCTTATCTTCCACTGGAGCTACTCCAACCTTATCTCATATATGCTCATTTCATATCCTATCTCTAAGGGTAAAGCCACTCATCCACCTAAACATCCTCATCTCTGCAACACTTAACTTAGTACTATGCTTCTCTTTTAAAGGCCAACATTCGGCACCATAAAGCATTGCAGGTCTCACCATCATCTTATAGAATTTTTCCTTATGTTTGAGGGGGACTTTTCTATCGCACAACAAGCCCGATGCATTCTTACATTTCAACCATCCAACTTGAATTCAGCTAATAATATCCCCATCTATTTCACCATAACTCTGAACAATAGATCCAAGATATCTAAAACGTGTACTCTAATTAATGACTTGATTGCCCAAAGTCACAATCCCCTCGCTAGGTCTATTACTATTAAAATTACACTCCATATATTCAATTTTAGATCTCAAGCGAAAACCTTTAGACTCTAAGGTTGACCTCAATAATTTAAGTTACCTTCAACTCCCTCTCTAGTCTTATCAACAAGAAGAATATCATTAGCACAAAGCATACACCAAGGCACATCTTTTTGCAAATGTCTAGTGAGAACATACATGACTAAAGCAAAAAGATATGGACTTAAGGCTGACCCTTGATGTAATCCAACCGTAATAGGAAAATACTTGGTCAAACCACCTTGTGTTTGAACAAAAGTACTAGCTCCTGCATACATATCTTTAATGAGTTGAATATAAGCGTTATTAACTCCTCTCATTTCAAGAACTCTCCATAGCAGTTCTCTTGGAACTTTATCATATGCTTTCCCTAAATAAATAAATATCATAAGCCTGTTTATTCACCTTTAAATTTATTCAATAAAACTATGCTTGTGTGAGGTCCCTTACCTACTTGGGCTTCACTCTCAAGTTATTGAGTGCAACAATCTCTAAGGAGTGACCTCAGAATCACCTGCTGCAAAACCAATGCCCATGCTTCAGCCGACTGTCAATTCGGTTTATTCACCAATTCAGAAGACCAGTAAAGCATCCATCCCATTCCATTAAAGTAGTTGAGGAAGGATGAAGGAAAAAGAAACTCATAAAACTTACAAATATGTATACCCTAAAAATTTTAAATATAATGTAACCTACACTAATAAATTATATAAATTTAATCTCTGCAAATCAAGGATTATATATATTCTTCCATTGCATAAATATATGTAATGAATAGACCAGTAAGCAAATAAAGAGAAACAATAAATTAAACTTATCATAATTAATTGGGGCACTTTTGAGTGCCCATCTTCGTTATGCTTATCAGAAGCATAAGCTCTTCAAAAGCACATAAAGTAAACTTTAAATTATAATCTTGTTATAAATTGAGCCCCTCGGTGATTAATTTTTAGATTTTTTTTTAAGAGGGAGGGGGCGTGATTTATTTTTCTAAATGATTTATTTTTTCCAAATTATTTTTAATATTATATTTAAATTGGTAAGTGCTTGTTGGTGAATAACCATTTTCTTCTTTACAAATTCATTGTAAGTTTTATTTTAACTCATACATGTCCTCATTTCTATAACTTCAAATTTTATTTCATTTTATTTTTTTATCATTTTAGATTTAAGCTTTATTCTTCCTAAATTTAGCATAAGTTGTTTACTATGATGCACCGACACTTCTCCCCAAAGAGTCGTTCAGCGTCTGACACATATCTGACACGACACGCGTCTGACACTTCTTTGATGTGTCGGACATGCCAAAAATATGTCCGATTAAAAAAATATTAATTGCAAATTGGATATGCATATCTTAAATATTTTATGAATTATTTTAAATATAATTTGTTGTATTTAACATTTTTATTTATTTAAAATATAGAAACTAAATTTCTTATTTACTATCCAAAACATCTAATCAATCTCCCGCACTCAATACCCCATTCATCGAACATTATCATTTTTCACTTCACTTTGGTGGGTTGCGACTTTAATTTCACAATAATGTCCGATGTCATCTCAACATTATCGACATTTCAAAATTATCTCCACATCAAAGTCTAACACTGTCATGACATTGATGCTCATCGCTAGCAATTTCTACACCCACAACTTGATAGCTCATCTTTGTTTGACATCTTTTTAACATTGACGACCAACAAACTCTCAACATCAATGACAGACGCCCTCTTGACATTAACGCTCGATACTTACTACATAACATCGATGCCCGACTCTCAGCAGTAATGTCATCTCCTCTTTCGATGTCTGATACACGGCATCGACGCCTAACTCTCGACATCCTAATATTAATCATTTTAAACACAAATTCTAGTTAAATGCCTTATTTTTTTCTATTTTTTTAATATTATATTTATTCAATTTTTATACACTGTTCTTAAAATATAAAAATTATAATACAGTGTCTAACCCATGTCTGTGTCCTATATTTTCAATAATTAATGCGTCCTATGTCCGTGTGGCATCTGTGTCGCCATGTCCGTTTCTGTGCATCATGGGTCATTAATTTTGGTCAGAATTTTGGTAGAACCCCAACATCATCCCTGCATAGGGGGCTACATCGGGGTGCTAAGCCTTTCCACCACACCAAGAAAGGAATGCATGGTCAATGTCAGTTGACATTGCAACCAAAGTCTTAATCCCCCTTCCAAAAAAGGGAATCATAGGTCTTCAGGAACTTATTTTATAAAGCATTGTATTTCTTCGTCCGTCAAGAAAGATAGTCACGAGTACTTAAGATTTTCATACATAGAAATATTTTCCCATCTACCAAAAAAAACAATCATAAGTGCTTAAGACTTTATAATGTGGGCTCCAAAAATTCGTACCCTGATCTCTCCAAGATCCCTTTCTTTTTGTCGACGATGGGAGTTTTAACGAGTTTAGGTTCCATGGTAAATTTTCATAAGGCAAATTGAGTTTTTAGATAAAACACGGCCCAGAGATTTCGCTCTCATTTTGTGAGGACTTTATGATTAGAATTTTGATTTCCTATAGGTACATGCCCCTATAGTTAATTACCTCTCCCGATAATGAGAGAGAACTTTCGACTAAGGCTAGTCATTGAACAGATACATAGTATCTAGTGTATATTAGTAGCAGAATTAGATATTAAAAATAAAAAAAAATTATAATCGCACACTTAAAACGGATGGTAGGGGGAATGATGATGAACCCGATCAAGATTCTATGGTTCCTTAATCCCAATGTGATCAAAGGGTCCTTGTCGGCAGCCATGGGTTGCTTCGTAGAAGGGTATCTTGTAGACTTGGGGTGAATGTTTGCCTAAGTGAACATATTTACGTCCACCTTAACTAACAGATTAAGGGCTTTATGCCCTTTTAATTATACCCTGTTGATTTATTTTATCAAGAATTTAGAAACATTAGAGAATATACAAGCTCTATCCATAACCATAATTTAGTTGTACCATTTAACAGTAAAATCAGCCAATTAGATAGCCCTGGTCATAAGTGTTTATTTGTGGTGTTATTTGACGGTGAAACTACCGATTATAAGACACGTGACATGTCCTTACTGACATGAGATGACTTGAGAATAAATCATAGTGATAATCTAGACTAAACAGTCACTCTCTATGAGTTGAAGTGATTTTCAAATTTATTCGCCTCGACAATTATTGCAGAGAGTGGATGTATTTTGCGTTAAGTTATTAGGTGGTTCATTTCATCTTGAATATCTTAAATTTTAGTGATTTTTTAGTTTTAAAATATTTATCAAAATCATAGCCCTTTTATGATTAATACTGAGATTTAGGGGCATTTAAAAGATAAAGACCCCTCCAATTAATATTTTTTGTCAACATAGCCATCATCGGGATTTTATGGGTATTGTCATTTCATTAGTCAAACCTTATCAACTTTGTTTGCATGCAAATAGAGGATCAGGTTCATATCCTAATTTTTTGAGTTATCATATAAATATTAGAACTGATGGTATTCATTTTAACATGTGAATTTTCTTTGTAAGAGAGCTTGAAGGCCTAATATGAACGTATAAAATTAAATACTTTGATTAACTTAAACGAGTGTCGATTATGAGAGTTTGTGCTTTTAGCAGTAAACATTTCTTGTAATAAACCTTTAAGGTCTAATATTAAATACTCCGATTGGTGCTACGATCGTGTATTTATTCGATGGTTCAAATCGTGTTAACTCCGGTCCATTTAAAGAGGAGGATTGAACTTGAACT